TAGATAGATAGATAGATAGATAGATAGATAGATAGATAGATAGATAGATAGATAGATAGATGATAGATAGATAGATAGATAGATAGATAGATAGATAGATAGATGATAGATAGATATAGATAAGATATAGAGATATAGATAAATATATAGATATGATATACATATAGAGATAGATAGAAAGGTAGATAGGTAGATAGAGATAGATATGGATATAAACTCAAATAGGCATGGAAGAACCTGCAAATAGAGGGTCCCACCTGTCCGGATATTGTTATACCAATCCCCAGCCATGAAACCTACAATGGATATAGTGAAAAGCAGCTTTTGAATTCTATAATGAAGATATGGTTTAATCTATCATCAGACACTACAACCCATTCACTTTGCTAGATAGGGGAACACAAAAACAAACCTGTGGAAATTTGTAGGCACCTGCTAAAGTTGACATCTGGATGGAAATGTCTCTGTGAGCTCTATCAACAAGTGCCAAAAGGTTGTCCTTCCTTCTACAGCTGTAGTTGGGAACATTGGCTTCTCCGGTAGACAGCATGTCCAGCAAGGCATCTGAAGTGCCGAGGGTGTTATCATAGTTGTCATGGATGTTGCAGCCAAGTGTGAGATTGTGCGGGGGCTGATCATTTTTATTAAAAACTTCAATATTGAAAATCACACGTAGTATGTATTTCTTTCGATGAGATAAACTAGTGTAAAACCATGCTCATATTAGTATTAACAGCAGCAGCAGCAACAATACAATACTTTTTCTCTATTTAATCCATTTTTTTCTACACAACCTAACTAAATCTTAAGCTATTATTGATCCAAAACCAGAGGCAAATGATAATCACTCATCATCCTTTAAAGTTGTGAGTGTGGAGAAGATAGAATGGATATAGTTTTCCAAAAGGGTTAAAATCAGAAATACACCATTATTTGTAGAAGTACTAATTTTTATCAGTTCAGTAAACAGCTTGAAGAATAATTCAGTCATTAAAGTAGAACTATCCTAAAAGATACAGGATTTTTAATAAGTGACCCAGAAAAGCTGTTCTGAAAAGAGGCATCCTCTATTCTTATAAAAATCAAGCATTGAATATCAATGAGAGGTTATGAAAATATGAAAAGGACCTGGGCAGGGGAATTTATAACAATCACTACTTTCAATAAAACCCACTACTCAGGTCATGAATTGAGGATTGAACAGGGAAACATAAATAATGTGGGCTTTTTTCAGGTTTTATTTGCCTCATGTTTTGATTTGAACCTCTCCCAGAAAATAAGGCAAAAGACATAGAGACTGTGGAAATAAAAAGGTTCAAGAAATTAGTCAGGTCCTGCAATATAAAAATGAGTAAAACAAGATGAAGGAGAAAGAAGAGTGTTAGAGCTGCAAATGGAGGGAATGAAACTCCATCACAATGAATGACTTACAACTGAATCTGCCTAGAAGGAGCCCTGTTGAAAGGTAATGTTGCATCTGCTATTGTTGATGGAGAGATGACTATACCAATGACAAGATCGCCTGGCCTATAATAGCTCCATGGCTTTTCTCCATCCTGGTTTTCCAAACTCAGTGGGCACTTCATTCTCAGCTTCCCAGAGACCGGCTGGGACATCAGTAGAAGCAAAAGCAGAAGCAGGAGATTCATAATTCCTGGGGCTGAATCAATCTCCTTCCTATTTTTAAAGAAGAATTAGCAGAATTCAAAGCACTCTCACAGGATAGAATATCCTCTGGCTTTCCTGATTCAAACAGACAAGATTCATCTGGAAGAAATAAAACGTACATTCAAGAGCTACAGCTCCCGCCTGTCCTGTAATTTGTGCCACAAAGGGCATAACCTGTAGTATTTATCCTTTTATAATGCAAGGTCGCTTCCATGCTGCTTCAGTCTCATGTTTACATCAAAAGCAGACACTGGAGAAGTAGAAGAAGAGGTCTCAAGGCACGTAAGGTGACAATTACAGTGAGAAGGAACTTGTCCTCTTGGGACCCTGAATTTCTTCCATCTAATGAGGAGTAGGCAGAAAAAAGGACTTTGGTGAAAACCCCAGCTACACGCATTGGTGCACTGTCCTGTAGTGGTCATAGTCTTTCCTGTTAGGGTATGTGCATAAAGTCATGCCTGGAGCAAGATACTTCAAGAGCCAGGAAAGTGACTTATGCTGTCCTTCAATGGAATCTCTTGCTTCAAGAGATTGCTAGGGAAAGTCAGAGCTGTGGAGTTTGGTGCCACTCTTGGCTGATGACAATTAACTCTAGTGCTGTCTGTGCTCTAATGCCATGGAAGCAATCAGTATCCTTGAACCCAGTCTAATGTTAGAATAACAGTTTAACAGATTTGGAAGAAACTTTATAGGTTTTCTAGCCCAACCCCTTGCTCAAGCAGGAGACCCTATACCATTTCAAGCAAGTAGCGTCTGTTGGTGATGCTGTCTATCCCACATTTTTCTAATTTACCAAGAAGCAGGTTGTGGTCTATTTTGTCAGATACCTTACTGAAATCCCAGAATACCATGTCCACAGCTGATCCACTAATTTAATCACTTTGTCTTTACGACAAAGAGTGGGGCTGTATGGGATTTTCTTTTCAATGAGATCTTTTTTTAAAAAAAAGTTATTGATTTTTAAAAACAAACATAAACAAACAAAAGATAAAAACATCAACCTTTCTTCTATGAATATACAAGCAGTGTGTCGGTTGGTTTACAAATTTTGTGTTCATCCATTCCATAATCATCAATTACAGTTACATTGTATAGTAACTCATATTGTCAATCAGAAATTAAATACCCTAGTATCATTATTATTCAATCATTTGACAATAATTTTATTCATTCATATTTTGCAAGATAACTATAATTTACTTAATATCATTTTATAACAATTCATATAATCTTCCCAAATCTATCCTGAAACTTTTTTTATAGATATAGTAAAAAAGAAAAAAGAATACATCTTTATATATTTATTATTTTCTAAGATTCTACATATTTCATTATTGTATTTTATTATCTAACCATTGATAAAAAAAAGGTCCCAAATTTTATAGAATTGTTTATCCTCTTGCTCTGTAATTTCAAATTTCAATCTACTCATTTCAGCATATTCCAATATTTTCTTTATGATTTCCTCCTGCGATGGTATTTTCTCAATTTCAGTGAGATCTTCATATATTAATCCTAATTAGGAGCTCATTTTATAATTCTTGTAACTGAAGTGAAATTTCATTTGCCATCTGTTCTAGAAACACCAATTGACAAAGCCAACAATCAGAACCTCTCCTACATTCTCCTGGTCACTCTCCTGCTTTCCATCTTGACCTGTTCCATCCTGCTCATTGGCCGACCAAGAAGACTGATTTGCCTCCTCCAACAAACAGCCTTCAGCATTGTCTTCTCAATTGCCATTTCTTCAATCTTGGCCAAAACTATCACAGTGGTGTTAGCTTTCTTGGCCACAAAACCAGGGAACAAAATGCAGAGAAGGTTGGGGAAGAATTTGGCCAACTCACTTGTGCTTTCTTGTTCTGGTTTCCAAGTTGTCACCTGCAGCATTGGGTTGGGCACTGTCCCCCCACCAATTTCGTGACTTTGACATGCACTCCCAACCTAGAGAGGTCATCCTACAATGCAATGAAGGTTCTGTCACCATGTTTTATATTGCCCTTGGATACATCGACTTTCTGTCTACTGTCTGTTTTCAAATTGCCATAAACAAAGGGGGGGAATCTGAAGGAGCGGTACAGCAGTAAAAACAGAAGTACATTCCAGCATTATCTTAAAAAGATTGTAACTAGGCTACCGGATATTCTGGTTTTGAAAATCCTTTATTAGAGAATGTGATTGATGATACTGGGCAGTGCTTTATTGGAGAATCTGATTTATTATACATCAAGGGGGGAGGGGCAAAACATGGTCACAGGTGACTGAATTATGTATGCCAGACTTGGCTTCATTTAAGTTAAAGCCAGCATGTTGCTCCTGATAAATCTTTTGAGGGTTTTTTTGAAGCTTGGCTCGAGGCTCATGATTTAATTAGGGCTATCACCAGAACCCTGACACATATATTCCTCCTGTTCCTAAAGCTAATCCTATTCCTATTCTTCCATATTTCTAAACATTCCTAAGACAAAATATGAAGTCTTATTTTTAGTCACAATAATGTGGGTAAAATCTGTTTCCAGATGAATGAGTCTTTCCAGTAAGCCAATGGAGACATAAGGAATGTGGCCTTGGAGTTCCTAGTGAACTGTGGGAAGTTTTATCAGAATATTCCCATAACAAATCCTGAATCAGAAGATGAAAATGCTTCTTATACCAAAGGCTATTTTTCTTTACAGATAAGAGAAGGGCAAGAAGTAATCTGAAATTTCTTATGTTATTATTTATGTATGTATACCGCATTTTCTCTTCTGTTTTACATCATTTTAGTCTCTTTTCTGCAAAGCATAAATATTTATATATTCTTATTAAACAAATGTATAAGGCTGCCACATTCACCTATAGATTCCACTGGGCAGCTTGCAACTTTAACGTTCACGTTTTAAAAAACCTCATTAAAATCCCATGCCAGTGTAAGTGGATGTGAGTGTATCCCTTTGTTTATTTCTCTCTATTTTTTTGGACAAGATCAACTCTCAGTATGTCCTGTGTAATAAATGCTGCAGTGAGCCTTGACTATTTGCTTCGGTTTCAGTGTTTTGATTCCACACAAACTGGTGTCAGAAATGAGAGTCACAATTTTTGATCTGTGACCAGGGATTACAATAGGGCATCCTATGTGTTGTGGTGAGTTTGATCACATGTCATTTTCTGCTGCCAAAGAAAGGGTACCATTTAGGACTGTGCTTAAGGCAATAATCTAAAAGTTTATTTTGGTTAGGAGGTTTCTTAAATGTGTGTGTCCCCTTTTTAGTCCAATTCTCAGTTTTTATATAGAGAGCTCAACTGAGAAATGACTGGAGAAATGACTCAAATAAGGGAAATTGAGTTTGAAGGAGTGATTGTGTCCCTTCTGTGTTTCTGAGCAGAAACTTGGCCCTTTGGCTATGTTCAAAGTCAAATTTTATCCTGCTGTTTCTTTGAAGGAAGTATCCTTAGCTGCTGCTTGGCAAGTAGGGCAATAGAAAGCAAACTTTTAGAAAGAGAGAGAGAGAGCATGTGAAAATGTAAATGTTCATAAAGAGGTAACCCTCCTGAATTAAGAGCAGCCCACCAAGTGATCCAAGGACCAAATAATACTGCAGAGAAAGGAAAAGAAAAGAAAAAGCCATCAATGAGTATCTCCAGATTCTGTATGCAGAAAGCAACCATAGGATAAAAGTATATCAATGGGAATTAAGGGTGTCTGGGAGAAACATCAGTTTTGACTGGGACAATGGAAACCAATGAACTATCCAAGTAACCCAAGGGTCATCTTATAACAGAAAAATGGAACAGCAAAGTTGGAAGGGACCTTGGAAGTCTTCTAGTCCAATCCCCTGCTTAGGTAGGAAACCCTATATTAATTCAGATAAATGATTGTCCAATCTCTTCTTTAAAACTTCCAGTGTTGGAGCATTTACAGCTTCTGGAGGAAAGTTGTTCACTGTCAGGAAATTTCTCCTTAGTTCTAAGTTGCTTCTCTCCTTGATTAATTTTCACCCATTGCTTCTTGTCCTGCCCTCGGTTGCTTTGGAGAATAGCTTGACTCCCTCTTCTTTGTGACAGCCCCTGAGATATTGGAACATTGCTATCATGTCTCCCCTAGTACTTCTTTGAATTAAACTAAAGAGACCCAATTCCAGCAAATGTATGTTTTAGCCTCCAGTCCTCTTGTTGTAGTTGAGCAATGAGAGGCTTGACCAGGGCATGGATGCAACAAATACTTTATTAGAATAATAAAGGACTGAACGTGCTTGCCAAGCCTGGAACTGGCTCGCAGCGATCAGCGACTGGTTGAACCCCGCAGCCCACTTTTATAGCTGGCTGCTGGGGAGAACCAGCCAATGAGGGACAGCAAATGCCCCCGCAGCGCGAACGGACCTGGGTGGGGACTCCTGTAAGTTCCAGGGACATAACACCTCTAATCATCTTTATTGGTCTTCTCTGTACTCTTTCCAGAGTCTTGACATATTTTTTTACAATGTGGAGGCCAAAACTAAATGCAGTATTCCAAGTGTGATCTTCTCAAGGTATTATAAATTCCTCTTATATCGAGGGAAGTGGCCAAATACACTGGAATCATTTCATGGGAGGATCATATGTGATCATAATGGGGCTGGGGGAAGTCTTAGTACAAATTGAGAGGGTCAAAAGACAATGCTCTACAACCCTTAATTGACAGTCTCCCCCCTTCCCTCCCAACAGGGAAGAAGTGTCCTGTGAAAATGTGTCCTGTGCCTCTATAGAGCTGTGATAAAACACAATCATAAGGGGGATGGTGGTTTTTTTCATTGTCAAAGTTCTGACACCAGTATTTTCTCTTTGTGGGTATTTGTCTATTTAGGTTTGTTTGTGCATCTGCATAAAACAATGTGTCAGGTTGAGAATCTGTTGGGCTTCAATGTGTGAGTTTTCCATCCCTTAATTTAGAGAACAACACATAGAGAGAAAGAGGGCAAATTCACACAGACTTAAATTTCCATATTCATTCCACCCAAGGCAAAATACTCCTTTCCCTTCTCTTTAGGAAACCTTGTCTCTTCTCTTCAGCCATTTTATCTTAATATAAGATAATCTTATTCACTATCCTGTCCTTCCCTGGCTGCACTGGTGGGATTTAAAATTTTTACTACTGTTTTTGTGGACCTGGCTTGGTAGGCGTGGCATGTTTTGGTGGACATGGCTTAGAAGGCATGGCAAGGGAAGGATACTGTAAAACCTCCATTTCCATCCCACTCTAGGGGAAGGATATACTGCAAAATTCATTCCCACCCAAGGGTAAGGTTACTGCAAAATCCCCATTCCCTTCCCACTCACTAACCTGCTTTCCAGCTTCGTTTTCCTGTGCAGGGCAACAAAAGAAGACCCAGCTGATCAGTTGGGACTCAGGAGGCAGAGAATAGAAGAGGGTATGGCCAGTCAGAGGTAGTATTCTCAAATTTTACTCTACCGATTCTCCAAAATTCTCAAAATTTTCGCTACCAGTTCTCCAGAACTGGACAGAACCTGCTGAATACCATCTCTGAGCCAGTCACATGACCGCAAAGCCATGCCCAGTCAGTCACATGACCACTAGGCCACACCCACAAAATAAGCCACACCCACACAGTCACATGACCCCCCTAGGCCGCACCCACAAAATAGGCCACACCCACAGAACCAGCAGTAAAAAAAATTGAATACCACCACTGGGTTGGGCCAAAACAGCAGCAGACATAGAACCAGTTCTATGTATGCTCTCTGTCTGCTGCTCTTCACAACTACCAGTTCTACAGAGGTGGACAGAACTGGTAGAATCCCACCCCTGGTATAGGGTCTCCTCCTTGAGCAAGGGATTGGATTAGGAGACTTCCAAAGTCCCTTCCAACATTATTATAGCAATAGCACTTAGGCTTATATACAGCTCTGCATGCTTTACAGCAGTCTCTGAGTGGTTTACAACATCAGCATATTGCCCCCAACAATCTGGTTCCTCATTTTATTAACCTTAGAAGAGTGATGGCTAACCTTTTCAGCACTGAGTGCCCAAAGCATGCATGCATGTGCTTCACCAAAATGCAATGCACGCATGTCCCCCATGCATGCATGTGTATCCCGTTCATGCATTCCCCATGCATGTGTCCTGCCGCCAACCATGCATCCCACCCCTTGCATGGATGAGACCTGAAGACCAGCTGGCTGGCTGGAGGTACACACACATGCACAGCAGAGCTCTATATGCCACCTCTGGCACAGGTGCCATAGTTTCACCATCACAACCTTATAGAAGGATATAGTTAGAGTGCCAGAGTTAACCTGAAATACTGCACTCTAACCACTGTGCCAACATTATTCTGATTCTGTATATCTTTTTGTTTGAATTTGATTATGGAAGGCATTCCTTTGCTTTAACCACACATTATGCCACAGAGTCACACAGTTTCCTTTTTCTCTCTATCAGTTTATTTACAGAAGTAATTAAATTGCCAAACGTTGATGTTTTTCAGTTGATGTAATTGCTTGGGCAGAAGCATTACAAACTAAACAAAAAATATTAGAGAAAAGCCCTTGATGCAACATAAAGCATTCCCTAGCTAAATACCACAGGATACCAAGATAATTAAAATAATCATGTTTTCATCTCTGTGTGTCTCATCTATCTATCTATCTGATTCTCTGATGATTACCCAGGCCATCCTCCTGTCTTTCCACATTCTTACAAACCTCTCCATGCTTTTCCTTCTTGTCTTCCTTCTGATATCAATGCCAAAATCCCTGGACCTCTCAGAGCAGGATATTCCGCCATTCCGCTCTGTGTGAATCAGGTGAATCAGAGATTCTTTTCCAGCACTATGTTCTGTACCGTCTGCACTTATAAGCAACCCTTTCTCTGCTTTTCCCTCTATTCTATAATGAAGATATGGATGTGCCACTTTACAGGTGTCTTCTAGACATTTCCCCTCTTCTACCCATCTGCTCCTGTCTTGTGCTCAAACACCCACCTTCCCTAAAAATAATCCATGATCTCAACACAAATTCACAAATTCAACACAACTCCTATTGCCCAATACAACCCAGACTCGATACTTGACCCCATGAAGGACTTGACCCCATGAAGGACTTTTTTGGTAAGTCTTTGTCTCTGCAACAATTCTTTGAAAATTGATTATAAAGCCTAGTTTTTTAAGCAGAGTACATCTTAGATAAAAAAATATTTGTGTTAGTATTTTGACTAATTTCCTTTTTCCACTATTTGCCTCATCCCTAACTCTTTTTTAAGAAAAAAGTTTTAAATTTTTACAACAAATATACAAACAAACCATAAACACATAAAACCCTCTTTCAATTATATACATACAGTGTGTCAGTTGGTTACAATCTTTTGTGCTATCCTTTTTTTTTTACCATTACTAACAAGTTATATAAATTATCACCTTATCAATCTAGCTTGTGCTTATGTAATATCAATGATTAAACATTCATTTGACTAAACTATTTTTCCATCATTTTATATGATATATTCTAAATTTCATTATGGTTTAATCTTATACATTCATCCAATAGTTATATATTTTATATTGTTTTCTATATTGGTCCATTAACTTTTATTGTAAGGTTTACTAATCTATTTTTTTACCATGTCTTTTTATCTAACCATTGATAAAATAAATCCCATATCATATAAAATTGTTTATCTTCTTGTTCTCTAATTTCAAATGTCAATTTACTCATTTCGGCACAGTCCATAATTTTCTTAATAATTTCCTCCTGCATAGGTATTTTTTCATTTTTCCAATTCTTAGCAAATACAATTCTAGCCACTGTTAAAACATTTACAATCAGATATTTCAAGTCTTTACAATATATTTCAGGTAAAATTCCCAATAAAAATATCTCTGGTTTCAAGTCTATATGTCTTTTTGTCATTTTTTCCAACCACATGTGGATTTTAGTCCAGTATTTTTTAGCGTCAGCACAAGTCCACCACATATGGTAATATCAGCCAGGTGTCTGATAACATTTCCAACATTTTTCGGATTTATTCTTGAACATTCTTGCTATTCTTGTCGGGGGGAAATGCCACCTGTAAAACATCTTATACAATTTTTTTTTATATGCTGTTGATATTGGCATTTTATAATTTTGAGACCACAATTTTTGCCATTTCTCTAGATCAATCCCATATCCAAAATTCTTCCCCCAAGCAATCATAGTTTCTTTAACTTGTTCTTCTTCTAATTTAATTTCTAATAAATATCCATACAATGTTTTAATCACGTTTTCATCAGGACCTGTCAAAATCTTATCTAAATCAGTCAATCTTTCATAGAAACCTTTTAGAATCTTTATCATACCTTGAATGTATTTGCGCATATGAAAACCAATTCATCTTTATACCTTGTTCCTCTAGTTTTTGTATAGATTTGAGTTCACCCTTTTCATTCAATATTTCACCATATCTAACTGTTTGTTCCTTTTTGTATATTGTAGGATAAGAAAATGCTTCAATAGTTGATAGCCAGACTGGAATTTTCAAATAACATTGTCTTTTAATCTTCTCCCAGTTTAACCACAGAGACTCCCGAATATAATATCTTCTAAAATACCCCTGTGTTTTAGTTCCTTTATACCATAAAAAAGCATGCCACCCCAATAACAAATCATGTCCTTCTAATGCCAACAATCTACTATTTCTTAGTGTTATCCATTCCTTAACCCACATCAGATTTGTAGCTTGATAATACAACTCCCAATTAGGCAAACCAAATCCTCCTCTTATTCTAGCATCTTGCAAAAGTTTTAATTTTATTCTTGCTTTCTTACCTTGCCATATATATTTCAACACAAGTTTATTTAGATCTTCAAAGTAATCTTTTCCAAGCCTAATTGGAATTGTTTGAAACAGATATAAAATTCTGGGTAATATATTCATCTTGATTGTTGATATTAGTGACAGTTGTAAATTTTCCCATTTTGCCAGATCTAGCGCTATCTGCTGTTTAAGTTTGATATAATTATTCTCTTTTAGTGTACTACATCTTGCTGTCAAGTATATCCCCAAGTACTTGATCTTATTCGTGACCTGAATTTTCAATAGGTTTGCCAGTTCTTCCTTTTGTCTTGATAACATATTCTTTGTCAAGATCTTTGTCTTATCTTTATTCATTTTCGAACCAACCACCTTTCCAAATGTCTCTATCTTTTCTATCAATTTTTGTGCTGCTTCTAGAGGGTCTTCTAAGATGAAAACCAGATCATCTGCAAATGCTTGCAGCTTAAATTCTTCCTTTTTGATTTTCATCCCTTTTATAACCTTTTCATCTCTAATATTTCTATTTAGCACTTCCAAAGTTAACACAAACCACAAAGGTGATAGTGGGCACCCTTGTCTTGTTCCTTTTCTTATATTGAAAGAGTCTGTCAGTTCTCCCTCTATCATTAGCTTTGCCATTTGCTTATGGTATATAGCTTCTATTGCTTGAATACATTTTCTAGCAAAGCCCATCTATTCCAGCAGTAATAACATGAATCACCAACCCTCAGAATCTCCTACCCTCAGTCCAGCCTCCCACACAGACCCCATGGCAGTTCAGTAGTCTCCCCCTCAGCTAGCACGGCAGTCCTGTCTGTCCAAATCCCCACTCCAATGGGTGAATGAAGCCTCATAGTTGCAAAGCCTCTGTTAAACAGTGCCGCCCTGTACTTCTGGAATTGCCGCCCAGCAACTGATTGAAGCTCCGCTCAACAGCTGACTGAAACGTGACATGCCAGAGGAGATGTGGGATGTGAGCAAAGCGGTAGGCATCTCCTCCTCTATCGTTTCATCAGTGTGGCAGGCTCCAGGCCTGACACCAACTCCCTTTTTAATTCTCTATATTGTTTTACTGCCAGAAAATCACTTTTCTCAACTCCGTCTGCATCTACAGCTATTGCCACAGCAGCTACATTCTGTATCTTATATGGAGGGGGTCTTGGACAGCTGGCATATTCCAGTGGGTCCCACTTTCCCTCCTCCTCTGCTTCCTATAAAATTCTCTTACTTGTAGAAGAAAAAGGGTCCACCCACTGAACGTGTATCCAGGGCTCCACATATGGCAATTGCATTTTTAACTTCTTTTTAACAAGAACTTTTCTCAAAGCTCTTATGCAATAACAATCAGATTCTCCAGATTTATCCCACCTATAGTTCAGCGGAATTAAGATAAGCACTGGCCACACCCCAGTGCAAAGCTCAATTATTGTTACTTTATTCAGATGTTTTGTATAAAGACTTAAACACGGCTCACTCCATTATTTAAGCAATTCACCCAGAGGGGAGGAGGGTGGAATGGATGGAATCTCTGCATCTGGTTTAGTAAAATATGACCCCATTTAGAAATAATAACACTCTCCCTTCTAACACAGGAAAGGGAAAAGAGGAAATGATAATGCAGAACAATAGCAGTACCGAACTATCACACACACACACACACACACACACAGGGCTAACATAAACTTATCAGGCTTAAGAAAAAACTCTTTTTACCCAGTGTTTAAGCAATCCTTAAAACAAATTTTAAACAGTGTTGCAACACAGTGGAAAACAAATTATAAGAGCTAGCTCACCTGTATCCTGGTGCACCAGTATCTGGGTTCACTCAGCCTTTACAGGTCTTCTGTCCACAGGTCACTAAGAGCAATTTCCTTCCCAAGGGGAAGAGATCCATCAAACTGCTAAATCCACTGAAAGCAGCAGGGGCACCTGCAGCTTTCAAAATCCGTCGACATTCAGAGGAAGAAGTCTTGCTCCTGTTCTAGCCAAAAAATGGACATTTCTACAGAACATAATCAACTTATGTTTATAGTTATATAACAGTCCAGTAATATTCCAGTAATTATTGCATAGGTCAGAAATCGGATAAATATGGTTTTACTTATGTTCCTAATTTTCACAGGTGTAATCCTTAGTATGTAATTCTTACATACCACAGGGTGCATCTCTTTGTTGTATGGGGGCCAACTCTCAATATTATTTCGGGGAGTCCCACTAGGACATGCTGAAAAGCACTGCAGAAAGAATTCAATAATTGCTTTGGTCCTAGACTTGATTCTGAATTCTAAAAGAACTATGAAGATGAGATTGAAACCCTCCAAACTAACTCTGAAGTTACCCATCAAGCTTAAAGCAGTCTGCAGACCATCTAACTAACTATTTTTATTTCTTTCAGTTTTAAATAACATAAGTTGTCAAACAGAGGCAAACAAAGCATATAAACCAATAACAATTTGCAATCAATAATTAAACGTTATGGACCTAAGAAACAATTTCATTGTCACTTCCCTATTTTTATCATGAGATGTTCCTTAGTGTTTAGATCAGGTCTAAGGATGATAATGTAGCACTTGAGGAGGAAGATGCAGCCCAGCAGTCCAGCACCAGAGGCCAAGATGGAAAAGACCTGCACGGCCACCATGTATTTCCCTTTGGTGCTCAGGTAGGTGGGAAGGAAGGAAATCCAGACACTGCAGAAGACCAGCATGCTGAAAGTGATCAGTTTGGCTTCATTGAAGGCCCCAGGCAGGTTTCTGGCCAAGAAAGCCACCACGAAGCAAATGATAGCAAGGAAACCCATGTAGGCGAGGACAATATAAAACATGGTAACAGAGCCTTCATTGCATTGAAGGATGATTTTTCCAGGCTGAGAGTGCATGTCAGAATCAGGGAATGGGGGGGAAATTCCCAGCCACATGACACAAATGAAAATTTGGACACCAGAACAAGAAAGGATGATAGTGTTGGCCAAGGTCTTTCCTAACCATCTTCTCATCTTGTTTCCTGGTTTTGAGGCCAGGAAAGCCAGCACCACCATGATTGTTTTGGCCAACACAGAAGACACAGCTACTGAGAAGACAATGCTGAACATTGTTTGCCGGAGAAAACAAGTGGCTTTCCTTGGCTGGCCAATGAAAAGAAAGGAGGACAGAAAACAAAGCAAGAGGGAGATCAGGAGGATGTAAGAGAGGTCTCGGTTGTTGGCTTTGACAATGGGAGTTTCTAGATGTTTAATAAATATGACTAAAACAAAGCCTGTGGTTAGGAACAAGAGTAGGGC